GAGCAAGTCATTGTTGCAAACAAATGGAATCACTTACACGCACAGAGCTGTGATTAACTGCAAAAACCCCTTAAAAGGTAGTTTTTCATTTGAAACGTGAACGTTAATCCAACACGTGCAAAGTCAAAATATCAAAGTTCAGGACTGTTTCACTCAACCACACTGGGCTGAAAAGTCTATTTACAGGGTGTATTAAATAGGGGCTGACAAAGTTCAGCCCTAACTCTGGGGATCCCCACACGTGTGGTGCAAGGGTTGGAGTCACGGTGTGCAGTGACCAACCTGGTGACCTGAACAGAAGATGAACACAGGAGAGAAATCAACATTTATGTGTAAAATCCACAGCACTGACAACCCCCAGGTGCACAGGTTCAGCAGTAAAACAAATGGCAGCGATTTCAACTCATTGATCTAAAAATCTAAAGACGGTTCTATAAATATTTTCCTTCCAGACAAGCTCAGTGTTCACAAGAAAACTTGCAAATGTCAAGAGAAACGGCAATTTTTGTTTCAAATCGCCACCAAAAGCATCACACTTCCTTCCCAGCCCCCAAATTACAGCTGCTGACCCCATCACAGCTACTTTTGCAATCCTTCACACACTCAAGGGCTGGACCACTCCAAAGAACTTGCCAGGATTAAAAACTGCCGACCTCCACTCGAGGAGATGGACCATACAAATGAGATTTCCACACAGCATTTAAGGCAAAAAAAAAAATCAAATCACAATCAGGTCAAACACACCATCAGACATTCAACCCAGAGAGGGAAAAGGGACTTATCCGAAATTTATCAGCCATTTTGGGGAGATTTAAAAGAAAGTTTCGGGCGTTATAGCAGCCTGAGTGTGATGGCAGCAAGTTGTTCTTAATCAGGATTCTTCTCTCAGCTGAGGCACAGCTCAATAACCACACAGCCACCTCTGGGCTGTGCTTGCTCCTGCTGTAAATTACCTCATCCATTTGTCATATTTTTAGCACTTTTTTGGGCAGTGCTGCAAGATCTGCAAGAGATGCATTTTAACCTTTGCTAGAGACTACTCAAGGACAGCAGTGGTTTGTGAACCCTCGCTGTGTAAAAAAATGTCAGTATTAAATTTCTGCCGCTCAAACCATGGAGCTATTTACTGAAGCTTTCTACAAACTAATTAAATATAAGGCTCTCGTGGGACACGAGGAGAAAGAAAAGGAGAATTAAGAGATAAATCACTGGCTTTTCTTTCCTCAGCAAGTGTACACTCCAATTTAATATATTAAACCAAAAAACACTCTGACAGTCCTTGGTTGGGCACAGATAGGCAGCATCCAAATCTCACATGGAACACACTGCACAGCATAAATTAATTATCTCTGCTTTACCACAACTTGCACAAAGGAATTGGGAGAGACAATCCAGACAAGGGGATGAGCTTGAGATATCAAAGGCTCCATATGGAGACCACAGAATCTCACTTTCCAGCTTCACAGAACTCCCCAATCTTTGTGAGCACATGGTACAGAGAGGTATCAAAGCAGCGCTTCCCTCCCCTGCTGACCCCGTGTTCATCTCGTCAGGAGAATTCCTCCCGCATGACACACAGGCATTTCAGAGCTTCCTCCAAGAGAGAGGCTTCTCCAAATCTCACCAGAAGAGCCCTCTAATAGTGGGGACCTCTCCAAGTGCAGAGGGGACAGCCACAAAACCAAGCACAGCGTGGGCTCTCGGCGTCATCTGACGGCCAAAGACTCGAGGTCAGGGCGGGTGTTGAGGAAAATCACCCTGTCTGGGCATCTCTGGGGGTTAATTCCCTTCTGCAGAAGACCAGGTTTGTAGCTCAACCTCCAGGTGCTGGAGACCACGGGATCATTGGATAATCCAGCTTGGGAGGGAGCTCAGGAGGTCACCCAGCCCATACCCTGGTGCTCAGTAATAAGGTCAGACCAAGCAGCTCAAGGCTGTGTCCAGCCTGATTCCAATATTGGCTTCAATATCCTGGAACACATTTCCCAGGGAAGCCGTGGCTGCCCCATCCCTGGAAGCGTCCAAGGCCAGGTTGGAGCAACCTGGGCTAGTGAAAGATGTCCCTGCCTGTGGCAGGGGGTGGAACTGGATGGTCTTTAAGGTCCTTCCAACCCAAACCATGCCAGGACCCTTTGCCCTGTCACCCCCGTGCACTTCTTACAAACCACCCCCCCCCCAGTTCATTTAGCAACAGCAAATCAAAAATTTTGCATAACAATGATCTATTAACCAAACTATTCTTTAAACAGTTTTTGATTAGCAACTTAAAGACTATTAAATTTTTTAAACAAAGCCCCATCATTCCATTAGCAATCATTTACAGTGCTTAAGTAGGTGTTTGTGGATTAATGGTTTTAAATGAAGCCTCTAAACACAATTTCCAGGACGGAGCAGAGCAGGAAAAAAAAATGTCACAAGTTTCTAAAAACCAGTAAAAAATATCAGTTTTCTCATCTGAGAAGCAGATGATACCTTACAATTCATTCACCTCACCCCCACAGCTACTGCTTCATTTCACAACACAAGAGAAAAGACATCAAACAACCTTAATCAGAGTTAACACCATTTCCATGCTGTTCCCACCAGTTAAGGTCAGAATTTGATGAGGACACCAAAATTCCTCTGTGTGATGTTTGATGGTGAGGCAGCACCACAGTTGTGGATTTAAATGTGTCTTTAGCACCATCTCATTCCCTGGGTGGGAAACCAGCACATCCCTGGAATTAGAGGTGAGGGGTCTCACTGCTCCCGGGAGTTTCCCTAAGGAATCACGTCACTGTCCAGCTCAGAACCAAGGCTTCTGTGAGATGTCAAGCGAGTTTAATGGCATTTTAAAAGGAGTAGATGATTTCAAAGTCTGCCCTCAAAGTTGACACCTAAAAGCAGAGAGACAAAGCTGTGGTCAAAGCTGAGAGGTTCATTCCAGGTGGAGAAGGGAAGCTCCCTCTGTGCTCCCAAAGAAATGAGGGGATGCAGGAGAGGGTTGTCACAGGATTGTCACGTGTGTTTTTGAGCTGTTTGGTCCATCCACACCTCCCTCTCAAGGAAGAGCAGGAGATGGATTAGCACCTCCTGGAATCCCTGTGCGGGGAAAGCCGAACTGTGAGAGGGATGAACATCCCCAGACAAACTCCTCGCTGCCCTCAACACCAATTCAGGAAGGAAACCCCCTTCTCCCGGCTCCTCCTGATCCATTTACACACTTCCAGCTTTCTCAACCTCAGCTGTTCAAAAGAGGGACATTTTATAAGGCAAAAAGCAAAAAAAAATCCACGTGCCACCACTCCATGTGATCATGGGTGACTTTTGGGATCACATTTACAGGTCCCTGCGTTGGCACCTCCACAGATGAGCTGAGTTCTGGCAGCAACACTCTGCACAGGGGGAAGGCTCATTCCCATCTTCCCCATTTTCCTGGCCTCTTGTTTGAAAAGGAAGGGAAAATTTCCAATTCATGAAAGCACTGAGAGGTGAGAAGATGCGCTTCGCTAATTCTAAAGCCTGGTTTCTCGTCATTCCCAAATATTGTGACTACAGGCTTGGATCCATCACTGCACACTTTGATGGGGTAAATAATGAAAGAACACACAAGCCTCTAATTTCACACTGCCTTCAATTCCCATTTCCAAAGACAGCTAGAAAACAGGAATAGAAACTAACCCAGTAAAAAAGAAACACGCCCTTCTCCATTTCTAACTTGGAGAACATAAGAACTCAAAAAAAAAAAATAATCAAAATAAACTCTTACACAGCTTTATATTTGCTCAGATAAGCATTTTCAACAGAAATGTCCAAACTGCTTCTAGGTACAGGGCACTGGGGTCAGTGTAGGACATGACTTGGAGGACAACATGTTTTAATGATTTGCAAGCAACGAGCAGCCCCCCCCCCCCAGCAGGAAAAAGAACCCAGCACCTAATTGCAAAACAATATTTTAATTGTCAGCTTTAATTTAGGTTTCCTACTCAGATTTAAATCTTTTTTTTTTTTGCCAAATTGCATTGATTTAGCTCAATCAGCCCTGCCCGAAGGCCATCTTTCCTGCAAGCTCTGAGCATACCAAGCAAGTTTTAGCCAATTAGATAAATCACTGAATCTCATAACTTCCTAACAGCAATACATCAAGCCGTGCACAAGCCATAATTAATTTTTTAAATACATATTATCTCGAAAACTCGGCGAAATTAAGCAGCTCGGGAGGCATTTCACCATCCTTTATGTTATGGGCTTTTTTTTTTTTTTGTAACCTAAGGCACATGATGGCCTGAAACCCAGCCAGCTGAATTCTGCAGAAGACTTGCACGGTCACTGCAAATCCACCTCTGTTTATTATTCCTTAGGATGATGGGGATAACACTGATGCATCAGTTTTATTCATTTATATATGTGTGTATATATATATATGTGTGTGTGTACACCCACACCCACGCACTGCAGCCTTAAGGTGTTACACTCATGAGCACAGTCAGGAAAACCAGGCAGCAATATTATGGACTCAGCAGGAGCAAAATCCTGAAAAATGGAAGTTTCTAGCACAAACAGCTTCACGGGGACCCTCAGCACAGTCCCCATTACCACCAGTGGAAATATGCTCTTCTGACACTACACAGATTGTTGAAAGATTCCCATGACAGGCAGAGGATTAAAAAGCAATTCCCCGGCTCTCGTATTTCACATGCAAAGCCGTATTTCACAACGGGCAGGCAGGAAAATACGGATCTCTCCCAACTCAAAAATGTGTGTATTCCGTTAAAAAAAAAAGAAGAAAAGCCCTCGCTGTGACACCTTAAAACGGCAACACCAAAGCAGGAACTACCCCATGGGGACGAGGAACAGCGCTGCAAACCCGACCCAGCATTGTATTACGAAAAAGCCCTGCAAATTCCAGGCAATCTGCAAATGATTTCCCCCCTTCCCCACCCAAACATCCACTGCAAACTCCTACAATCGCGAGTCAGGATTGCAGCAGCCAAAGGCACGGAAATAAAACCGTTCCTTACCTTTAACTTGAGTGTCATACTCGGCTATGATCTCCTTATCCTTTTTGAATTTTGCTGGCGACGTCATGTTTTCTTTTCCAAAAAAGCTTCGCCTCCAAAAGAGATCCCCCCAGAACGCGAGATATAAAGGGCAATTTCACTCCTCTCCACGCGATGCCTCGATTTTCTGCTCGTCCTTCCCCCCTCCCCACCCAAAAAAAAAAAAAGGGGGGGAAAAAAAATCCAAAAAATCAGTCCATGGAGAGAGGGTGTGAGAGGGAGCACAGCAGCAGGAAAATGCAGATGTTGAGATCAGCGGATGGAAGAGGCAGCAGTTTTGTCTCCCTGCACCAAATCCTTGAGCAGCAGCATCAGCCTAGTGAGATCCTGCAGCCCCCAAAGGCTCTTCCTGATCCTTAACAGCACAGCCAGGGAGTGGAAGTCCTTCCGCACAACATGTTTTGTGTGGGTTTGGTTTGCCTTTTCTCTTTTTTTTTTTTTTTTCCTTTAATTTATTTATTTATTTATTTCTCCTAATGGGCTCGGGAGATGATGCAAATCAAACCCCAACTGAGAGCAGAAGCGGAGGACGAGAAGCCTTTTCCCTTTGGTGTTTTGCTCGCCTGCAAATGGAAAAGAAAACAAAAATAAAATAAAATATGTAGATAGATAGTTAAAAAATTGCAGCTTGCAGACGAAATCTGTGATGGGAAGAAACGCTGCCCTGCCACCCTGACATTGCAAATCGTCCTTTGAGCAGCAGCAGGAGCAGCAGCGCGGGGTTCCAGCTGCAGCCCCGCCAGGTGACCCAGGGAACGCACCCACCCCGGGGCTGGGCCGGGGAGAGGCTCCCAGGGGAGAGGGGGCTGATCAGGGCATGGTTTGGGGAGAGGGAGCTCCTTACGGGAGCGGGGGTTGGTTTGGGGTGCAGGTCCCGGGGGAGCGGGGGCTGCTTTGGGAAGCGGGTCCCGGGGGTGCGGCTGGTTTTGGGAGCTCCTTGGGGAGAGGGTCCCCCTTTGGGAAGCGGGTCCCCGGGGGGCGAGTGGGAGCTCCTTGGGGGAGCAGGGGTTGGTTCGGGGTGCGGGGAGCGGCTCCCGGGGGGTGCGGGGGCTCCTTTGGGAACCGGGAGCTGGTTTAGGGAGCAGGGTCTGTTCGGGGAGCAGGTCCCCCTTTGGGAAGCGGGGTCTGTTTGGGGTGCAGGTACCGGGACAGCGGGGGCGCCTTTGGGGTGCGAGTCTCCCTTGGGAAGCGGGTCTCGGGGGGCTCCTTTGGGAGCGGGTCCCGGGAAGCGAGGACTCCTTTGCGGTCCCCTGGGACGCGGCTCCCGGGGCTGCGGGAGGCGGGCGGGACCCGCAGCATCGCCCGCCCCGCCCCGGCGGAGCCCCGGAGCCCCCGCACACCGGGCGGCTCCGCCCGCAGCTTCGCCCTCCGGTTTTTCTTTTTGGGGGGGGGAGTGATTGGGGTTTTTCCAGCGCGGGGCAGGGCGGGACACAACTTTTCCCCCGGTTTTTCTTTTTGGGGGGGGAGTGATTGGGGTTTTTCCAGCGCGGGGCAGGGCGGGACACAACTTTTCCCCCGTCTTTTTTTTTTTTTTTTTTAATTTTTCCTCTCCCTGTTTTTTTTTTCTTTTTGGGGTGGGGGGGGGGGGGGGAGGAGGGAGGGCGCGAGCCCTCCGCGGAAGATGCGCGTACGGGGAGGAAGAAATAAATAAACACACGGCACCCGCCGGATCCGCATCCCGCCCGGGAAGAACAATGAGGGCGGCGGGGAGAGAGGAAGCGTGGGGGGGTCCCGGGGCGGGGGGGGTGGCGAGAGGGGGCCGGGGCTGGGGGGACGCGGAGGCAGCGGAGGGCTGCCCGCCGCTGGCCGCCCCGCCGGGGAGGTGGTAGAGGAGGGTCGGGGGTCGGGCGGCCGGGCGGGGCCGTTACCTGGGCGCTGCGGAGCCGCCTCCCGCAGCCGGGGCGTCCTCCGGCCGCTGAGCGCCCGCCGCCCGGGCCCCCGCACCGGCCCGCCGCCGCCCCGCCCCCCGCGCGCCTCGGCCAATCGCCGCGCCGCGCTGGGCATGACCGACACGCGCTTCCACCAATCGAATACCCCCACCTCCAGATAGGCCCGCCCCCTCTTCCCGCCCCGCCGGCGGCCCCGCCCTGAAGTGTAGTAAGGGCGGGGCGCGCCGCAAGGAGTAACAGGCGGCGTGGCCAATGGGAGGGAGGCACGGAGCACCCTCCCGCCAATAGTAGCGCGGCGGGGGTGGGGCCACCCGATTTTTTCAATGGGGGGTGGGCGTGGCCTCTCGCGGCCAATGGGAGGGCGAGGTCGGGAATTCAAACTGACAGGTGGGAGCGTGGCCGTTGGAGGCGCCGGCACCGGGATCGACATCGGGACATCGGGACATCGGGACATCGGGACATCGGGACATCGGGACATCGGGACAGGCACCCCACCCGCCATGACCTCCAGCGGCTGCACGTTCGAGGACCGGAGCGTGGCCGTGCTGTGCTGCCGGTTCTGCCGGCAGGTGCTGAGCTCCCGCGGGATGCGGGCGGTGCTGCTGGCGGACACCGACACCGACCTCTACTCCACCGACATCCCGCCCTCTGGGTAAGCGCCGGGCACGGGGGGGTCCCACGGGGTCCCTCCGGGGAGGGGTCGGCGCTGGCAGTGCCAGGATTCAGCCTGACCCAGCTGAGCGGGGTCAGGAGCTGCAGGAGCATCACCGCGGCTCCAGCACTTAAAAACCCGCTGTCGCCAGCGAAACAGCCCCACAGGGCGCAGTTCAGCCCATCCCTCTATTTCTAGTCCCACCTGGCTCTCCTTCAGCCCTGCAGAAACCATGGGATGGCAAGAGCAAGGCTGTCCCCGCTCCCCCCCCCTCCAAATTTAATTCACTCGTGGGGATGACACAGTCTCAGGAGCTCCTCTAGCTCCTTGCAGAAGCAGAGATTAGAATTTGAAATAAAGGCCTGCAAACAGAACAAACCTGATCTGTCACTGCTCCCAGAAGGGCTCTCCCCCAAAGTCGGTTTGTGTGCTGCTTTCCCATAGCAAGATTTGAATACTAAGGAAATCAGGTTGTGAAATGACATGGTAATCAGAAAGTATGGGTTGAAAAGGAGATAAGAAATCAAAGGTTTGGCTTTAAATGTCCCAGCCTTTAAGGGATTGCTCTGTATCTTAGTTGGGATTTGCCAGGAACTCTGGCGACATTTGTAACCAGGTTTCTGACTGTCAGTGCCACCCAGCCCCAGCCTGCAAGTCTCTACCAAGAGAAACTCTGCTTTTTGAGCTATTTTGAGAGGACTTGTGATATTAATGCAATGTCACGTGGGTCTCTTCTTGTTTCCATATGAGTGTGGCTGGCAGTCGGTAGGAAAATATAACCTTGTGGTCTTGGAGCACTTTAAAACCAGACTGTGACCAGCAGCAGCATCACTTTGTTGTGACTTCAGACCTGTGTTATTAAAACATGACAGTTGTGATCACAGCCACATCTAAACTCCTCTGTCTTTCCTTCCCTCCCAACCAGGACTGTTGATTTCATAGGAAGCTGCTATTTCACCGAAATCTGCAAATGCAAACTGAAGAACATCGCGTGTTTGAAGTGGTGAGAGCACAGCCCGTGACCCTGACACTCCAAAATACTGCTTAACCCCCTCCCTGTCGACTCCTGCAGTGCAAGGGTTAAGGGATGAACGAACAGATTGCATTCTCTGTCGCAGATTTAATGCTGCTTGATAGAAACTCAGCCCACCACTCCTGGGCATGGCTGCCAGTCCATTTTCTGTGCAAGTCCCCAGTGAAAATGTGACAACCTTGTCAGGAGTCTGAGTCTATGGGAAAGCTTGTGTGCCACCTGCCTGATTAAATGTCTGCTTCAACTCTGAGATAACTGTGTGAATAAGGCCCCAGTAAGAAGCAGTTACTCATATTCTAATTAATAGAACATCCTCTTGGCAGATCGAGTTGTTGCGAGCAGATGGAACATGCTGTCACTAAAGTTCTTGCAGTTCTTTTATCCTCCTTATTAGTATCTGATATTTAAGAGTAAAAACAACAACTCTCAAATAGCTCACAGTCATTTGAGATGATCCCTTTGGCTTCCTAATCAAGACTTTTACCCTGTTCAGATTTAAACAGTGGGGGGGGGGGTTGTGATAGAAACACAATATTTTAGTTTTTAGGGAGAAGCAGAGAAACAGAAATATCTCACCAGAGCATGTGAAAGCAGAAAAGTGGTTGTTCTGGGTTTTAATTGAGGAAAATTGATAAGGCTTCAATATTCTGGCACAGGTTGCCCAGAGAAGCTGTGGCTGCCCCATCCCTGGAAGTGTCCAAGGCCAGGCTGGATAAACTTGGAGCAACCTGGGCTAGCGGAGGGTGTCCCTGCCCATAGCAGGGGGTGGAACTGGATGGTCTTTAAGGTTCTTCCAACCCAAACCATTCCATGAGTCTCAGTCTCATTACTCCTACCACTGATTCTCTCCTGTGCACGAGGCTCCTGTACAGGTGGGGTTTGTGTGTGATGAACTTCTGAGCTGATGCCAATGCAACCACAGGCCTTCCAAAAAAAAAAAAAATGCACCAGCATTTGTTGGTATGTAAACTAATCTGGATTACACAATTTAGGTTACTAATGGTTCTCTATGCCAAAGATCTGAAACTCAGATATTCTGTAACTCCTGACAGATGTTCCCTAAATATTTAAGATACTTGTTTAACTACGTTCCCTTAACTTAATCAAAATAGGAGCATTACATAATGGTCTGGTACCGTGGCTATTTAACATTAGTTTGGGCTGGAAAAAGCCACCAACATCTGTCCTTTCATCAGGCACTTGTGTTGCTCATTATTTCACTTGCCTTTCCAGTGGTAACGTTGTTGGTTACCATGTGATTTCTCCCTGCAAACCTTGCCTGTTGTCCTGCAACAATGGCCACCTCTGGATGTTCCACAGCCAAGCAGTCATTGGCATCAACAGGCTCGACCCTTCTGGTAAATTTGTCTCCTTCTCTTCCCTAAAAATCTCGACTCCCAAAGTCCCCATTCTAACGAGGCAGCTCAATATAGTCCAAGCATATGGAGGGAGGGGACCATATGGAGGCACAAGGAAGTGTTACTGCACTGCTAATCTGGAAAACTGCTCGGGGGGGGGGGGGGGGGGGGGGTGGTTGGAGCTGTAAATGAAAATCTGAGTGTAAATTGATCTCCATCAGAAAACTTTAACCTCCCCCCTCTGTGGCCACAAGTCGGGGTTTTCTGCAGCAATCCTACAACCAGCCCAAACCCAGCTATTTATAGGGGGGTGTGTGGCTTTCCTGGGCTCGCAGGCAGCTGGCCAAGGGACACTCTTTTTTGGGTGAGTCATGTTGTCACTTTGACCCTCTCCTGTCGCTGATAAGTGTCGGAACGGCCAAAGCGACACAAAAAAAGGTTCCAGCAAAGTTTATTCCAAGAAAAAAGCAGGGACCGCCGGGGCTGCTGCGCAGCCCCTTAAGTACAGTTTTTGAACACACGTAATGCACATGGATAGGACAGTTCAAACTTTCACACCAGAATTCTTACAGCTAATAGGTGCATTTTCTAAACTCTACTTTCTCACAACAACTTTGCTCTTTCTCAAAACAGCCCAGTTCTTTCCCACAACAGTCCCGAGCACCTGCTCTTATTTTTCTCTCATGTTGATGTTTTTCCCAACCACTCTCATTCAAAACAGGTCCTTGTTCTCATGAGACAGTGCTCCTGTTTTCATGAGACAGTGTTCTCTGTTCCCACGGGACAGCTTCTTCAGGATGCATCAGTATGTTGTCAGGATCAGGGCCTCCATTTTCAGTCCTCTCTTTTCAGTCCATCTCAGGGGTATACTTTGATCTGGTCAACATCTATTGCTTCATCAGTATGTGCCAAGGTGCCGACAGACCCGCTGTCACCCCCGACAATTCCCCCTTTTTTGTATTTGTGCGACAAAGATGGCCTTAACAGTCTGTTGCAGGGCCCTTTGCAACAGGCTGATCAAGCAAGGCATCAGTATCGACAACCCCTGATTCAAAGCTAAGAAGAAATGCACCATTTTCCAACGAGGATGAATAACAACACTTCACCAAGAAAAAAGAGAGTTCATCTACCATCTAGAATAAGGACTCACTATGGTCCGACAGATTCATGTAACACATTCCTTTAAAATCTTGACACTCATGTAAAGTATTTTTAAGTCTACACACATATATATCTACACAGTTTCTCTCTCTCACACAATCTCTCTTCAGTCATTCATTGGTGGCCACCTCAGTCACACTTCACTCACACATAGCTGGAATTTCTATTATACTTTTACATTTTAATTAC